CGTTCCGGCCAGCCCAGTGCAGGAAGCGCGGCAACGCACGGGACAGTGCCTCCGTTCGCCTCCACCCCCCATCGCGTCGTAATGGCAGGGGACGGTCTCGAGCCCAGCCCGTTTTGCCTTCTGGCCCTAACGGTGTCGCCGACGGCGCGAGAGCACTGCTTCGGCGCCGGCGTCGCCCCAGTGACGTCACGGTCTGATCGGTCCACCGGCGGCGCTCGAGGCGGACCGGCGCGAGCCGCGACTCTGTCCGAGACGCATCGGTCCTGTCACGCACCGTCGGACGCGCCGATGGCGTCATTAGACGCTGGCGGCGCGAATTATCACCGGCTGAGCCCCTCGCGCTTCGGGAGACACGGCTCGCCGGTCCGGCGGTGCCGCGTCGGGACCGCCAGCACGGACGCCGGCGATGGGCCACCTCCGGAACAAGACGGGAAGCTCGGCTCGGCTGGGCTTGCTGAAGGTGTCACGTGCCATGCAAAGGTTTTGCATGCTCCAGCAATGCTCCGGATCGGATTGGTAGCTGGGGGATTCGGTATTTGCTCAAATTTAACTCAAAGGCAACCAAAGCGGACCCATTTACCGTTTAAAGGTTCGGTTCAGTGAAATGCACCTGCAGCATGCATCTTATTCTGGCGCCGCTTCAAGACCCGTCGGCAGATCAGTATAGATTTGACTCACGCTGTCTTTATACACCTTTCTGGATACAGGATGTTCATGGATCAGTTGGAACCAGATCTGTGAAACTGACATGGCGTTGGATGTTACAGCGTGATAAGGCCCCTTTCACGACGAAAGCAATTAGCTGACAGATTGTGAGCATTCCTCCAGACCGGGAACGTTCGAGTCAGCTGAGGATTGCGGATGTGACTGCTAAGCATTCGTCGATAATTCTGGAGATCTGGACGCCGAAAATGTATTTGACAAATGTCGCTGCTCATCGCTATCATGTATAAGAACCTAAAATGCCTGTTGATATGAGGCAAATTATAAAAAACACATGGTTTCCACGGTCTCAAGCTTGAGTAGCAGAATTATTTCATATTTTCAATATCTTCGGACCACTGACAAAAACAAGCCACTCGTGAGAGTCTGACTGGCATGGGTGCGTCAGCAAGCGCAGCGCAGACGGGGGACCCTTGAGTAAACCCGAAACAGGTTTTGGGCTCAACACCAAGGGCCATGCAACCCGGATGCACGTGATGTTATAGTGAACCATTTTTATGAAGTACATGGGATCTTTCCCCATGCTGGTACACAAGGTGAGGCCACATTTTATGAATTGATGGAGTCTTTCCCAGAAGCACATCTCATAAAGAACTGTGGGATGATCATGATAGAACATATCGGTCTTGGCAGCACGGTGAGCGACCTGTAGCATTCATACTTGGTTTTTTGATACAGTACATACCTATATTTACTTTGCTACATCTGCATAACAATCTCGTTCCAAGAGTAAGCAGGACGTTTCCAGTTTCTTGTATGACCTCGCTAGCTTTGCAGTGTAAAGAATTTAATTTCAGTGGCATCATTTTCCAAAAATGCTTGGATAAGTGGTTTCAGCAGCAGCTTAGGACCTTTCCTGATTATTATTTTCATACATCACCTGATAAATTATGCTACAATAAACGTATTGGGAGTCAGCTCCCATAAAAAGCATTTCAAACGGTGCCTCTGCTGAAGTGTCGAAAGCCACAGCTGGCGCCGGCCCGACTCAACTCAGGATCCAGCTGGTGCCTGCGGCTCCGCTCCAAGGTGCGGGCCTTGGTGGGGGACCGCTGTGTCGGACGCGGGCGCGACATCAAAGCGTGCTGTATGAACGCGCTTTGTCGCCGCGCGATACCGCGCCGAAACCGTATCAAAGAGTCAAGACCTCTATCCGGGCCTGGCCGGTCCAGCGTACCGAACTGTGGCGTGGGGGGAGGGGGGGGGGGGGGGGCTGCGCGACCTCGCCGGGTGACCTTGCACTCACGCCTCTCGCGCTGCAGGAATACCAAACACGCCCCCGCTTACAGACCGCAGTGTGACCACTTTACTTCAGGCCACCCACGGAGGCTTGGCGAGTGATGGATTTGTGGTGGACTACGCTTGGTCGCAGCGGCCCCACGCCGTGAAAGGTCTGTGAGTGTGTCTAGTCATGCTCAGACCTAGCCAGGTGGTGGGTCTGTGCACGGGTCTGCGGATGCTTCTGGTCACGCTTAAGCCCAGCCACTTGAGGGGTCTGGTCTGTGTCTCCTCGTGTACAAACCCATATGCGTACTCATCTTTGCGAAAACTGTAGGGCAAGTCATTGCCTAGAGGCTGCGGCATGCGCTGCAGATTCCTTGCTGTGCCACGTAATGGTTCATTGCGCATGTCGCCGCATGCAGAATGTTTCATCATTATAACTGCAACGTGCCCAGGCCGACTCACACCACTGACGGTGCAGTGACCATTCCTGAAACTGTTCAATTGATTTCCGACGCAACAAGTAAGTCAGGCGTGCAACACTAATTGTTAACGTGCAGGCATCGGTTTAGTGAAGCGACGTTCGGCAAAACGGTTCTGTCGTTCCGACCCTTGATCGTGGGACCCTCGCGCTCCTGCAGCCGTTGGCAGCGCCGCGTGCAATGCGGGCTACCATATATGTTCTGCTTACAGCAGCGAAAACGCCCAAACGCTTCAATCAACCGCGCGTGTGCGTCGGACACCACGGCGCCGCAGATTTGCGACATAGCCCTGGTCATCGTCGGTGACCAGTGCGGCGGGTCACCGACTGCGTGACCAGCCGCACTGGCGCTGGTCACACGGTCTGTGCGACCAGCTGTGTGGCGGCGTCATGTCTGGTCAGGCGGGGGCCTCCGGTGGAGCTCGTGGCAGTTGTCCAGAGCACAGTCGCTACTGCTTATTTTAAATGAGATGTTGATGCATTTGATCAGGTATAAAGTAAGTAGGAAGATGTATTGTACACCCACACCCACACACACACCCACACTCACCCACACCCACACACCCACACCCACACCCACCCACACCCACACCCACACCCACACCCACACCACACACCCACACCCACACCCACACCCACACCCACACCCACACCCACACCCACACCCACACCCACACCCACCCCACACACACCCACACACACACACACCCACACCCACACACACACACACACACACACACACACACATATATATATATATATATATATATATATATATATATATATATATATATATATATATCGAACATAACTGTAAGATATCAGAAATCCATAACATTATCATGTATGGATGCTGAAGGACGCAGGGCTTTATGCACGCACATTACGGGACAAGGTCACAGACACAACCACGGATTGTAGCCTGAACAATACATTTATCCACCTTGATGGCACTTTCGATTCATAGGGCTGGACTTGAAGCGTACGACTGAATACACCCAGGCATGCAGCTATCTGGTGGAAGCGACACCTGTGCTTCAGGTGCTGCGCTGGCATGGGGACACCCTGTCTCGACGGACGCCATTCCCCACCCCTGATGGAGGCAATATCATGGCCCTGATGATGAGATCCCATCGGCTTGGAGCCACGTCCCTGCCTCGGCGGATGGGGTGGGAGCGTGCTGCCCTCGGTCCCGGCTGACAACAGTGCTCCCGTCGGCTCGGAGCGACGCCCCTGCCTCGGCGGATGGGGTGGGAGCATCCTGCCCTAGGTCCCAGCTGACACCAGTGCCCCTGCCTCGGCGGATGGGGGCGGGAGCGTCCTGCCCTATGTCCCGACTAACACCTGTGCCCCTGCCTCGGCGGATGGGGTGGGAGCGCGCTGTCCCAGCGCCACTGTGCCGAGACCGGACTGTGAGACGCGGCTGGCACGCCGCGCCCGACGGTGCGGGAGCACCAGTCACGCATAACACGCGCACCACGCGTGACTGACGTGGCCGTTCCGTGACGGCCGACTGATCCACCCTCCCGACGGTCTCGGCAACATGACACACACGCGGTCAGCGTTGGTAAACTCCCGCCTTCACGTGAGTATGTACATACGCAAGTTGTGTTGCTGTCTCGAACGAGATTGCGACCAGCGGCCCCCAGGGTGATATTGGTTGATTGTGCGTTATGGACCGATAACAGGAAAATGTACACATCCTTTGGCGTCGTTTGTGTGGAGTGCCTTTCACTGTATCAGGCTGAACACGTGCCGCGTTTACTTTGGTTCGGTTAAGGCTCCCCTCTCTTTCTTTCTTTCTCTCTCTCTCTCTCTCTCTCTCTCTCTCTCTCTCTCTCTCTCTCTCTCTCTCTCTCTCTCTCTCTCTCTCTCTCTCTCTCTCTCTCTCTCTCTCTCTCTCTCTCTCTCTCTCTCTCTCTCTCTCTCTCTCTCTCTCTCTCTCTCTCTCTCTCTCTCTCTCTCTCTCTCTCTCTCTCTCTCTCTCTCTCTCTTTTTTTTTTCTCTCTCTCTTTTTCTTGCTCTCTTCTGACACGGCGAGCCCTTTCAGAACTATCTGATTAAACATAGATATCAGATGCTGTGAAGTACCGCCAACACCGCTACCGAGTCTCTCCGCACCCATGTCAGATTTACCGACGTTTTGGCAGAGCTCGCGCATAGGGCAGCGATAATGACGCAGCACCCCTATGTTGGAACGGGGCGTTGAAAACAGGATGAAGCTGGGAAGCAGGAAAAGAGGGCGAGTGCTTCAAGCCTGTGATATAATACATTGTGTAATTTGCTGGCTTTTCAGTTTCACAGTTCTCATATCAATCGGAATAATCATTTCCCGCCGACGTCCTTGATGCCTATCATTGAAGACGTTTAGTGGTCAATTCACGATCCATTACACCACATCACAACCCATCCAACGCCACCGTACCTACTAGTTTACGCCGACCGTCCATACACACACGCACCTGATCACCGAGCGACGACGGCGCCGCGCTGCGGCCGGCGTCGGAACCTCGCCGGAGCCGGCCGCTCCGCCGCTGTTGACGCCGGGCAGGCTGGCAGTGTGGTGCGGACCATCGTGTGGAGGGCAGCGCGCCGAGGCGCTCCGGAGCAGGGTGACGTCGAGGTAGATGGCGGCCCGGCACGTGACCCGAGACCGTGGACCGTTGACGGCGCGACGGGGCGCAGCTTGAGCGCAAGGTGAGGCATGTGTAATGCTGGGAGGGATTTGAGAGTGTATGCGGTTTGCTGCGAGTAGTGGCCGGATATGACGTGTTGCGAGGGTTATGGTTCAAGCTATCATATCTGTGTCCGCTCCAAGAGCCCACTCCATTTTTTGCCCATGTCTCCACCCCTTTATCTTGAGATGGGCTCGACGCTTCTGACTTGACCACTTAACCTGGTGTCAAGGAGGCTTCGGCCTCCAAGTCATCGCGTGTCACGCAACAGAGAGGTGGGCGTAGCTATCGCCCTGGTCTCTAGGGTCAGGTTCTAGAAGCACTCTAGACCGAGATCGAGCGGTGATGTTTGAATGTTCGATGACAACAATTTCTCCGGTTCTAGCCATCGTGATATGTATGGGGAAGACTCAAACTTTGCTTAAAAGATCGTTGCGGCATTCCATAAATAACAATGTAGACTGTCTTTACTCCAGTCATGAAGCCATATGTGATGAATACTGCTAGCTCGGTATTCATCATTGGAGATCTTAAACGAAAAGCCTAATCAAACCCATTAGACTCAATGTGTCATTGATTATCATTTCATTGGGTCACTAGATTTACACGACCAACATGGCATGCAGCACCTGGACGTCTCCTAGCGTCGGTCGTCTCTTTCTTTACAGACGATCTCACAGTCGACATTATGGCGCGCATTGGGTGTGACGTACACCGTTTATGAGCTCACTGCCGAACCATTCAGTCGGTGTAATGAACGGAGCGCGAGTTTATCACAAACGAGTGGTAGTCGCCATGTGCTTATCCCACGCGTTTCAATATCGCATCATTTCAACAAACAGTCGAGAGCTTGCACGTGGGCCTTTTAGATTTGGTGAAAAATGAGATATTTGCTGGTCTATGGGCCGAATGCGGTATTAGTTAATGTGTGCGTGCTAGCGAAATGATGCGATCAAATCAAGCTCATCGCTGCGGAGCACTGCGCACTTCACGCTTCCCGACCGGTCCCGGCGTCATCCAGCTGTCGTATTCAGCGCACTCGCCGGCCGCCGCCGTGTCAGATGTCAGCTGACACAGATTCCTGGGCGGCGTAACCCCGTTTCGGCGGCGGTGGCCGGCGGCCGGCTACCCACTGCGTGCACACCCGTCGACAAATGTCGTCCCGGCGGCGGGCATCCGGTGCGCGTCGGCGGCGGCGGCGGCGGCGGCCCGTCCTGTGCCGGCGCCCTGACCCCTGACCCCGTGGGAGCCGGCCGACCCAGCTGCAGCCTGCAGAGCACAACTGGGCCACCGCCGCCGCCGCCGTGTTGCGACAGCGGCCGACGCGGCCAGGCGGCATGCGAAGCCCGGAGGAGCGGAGGGGGAGAGGCGGGGGGGGGGGGGGGGGCAGCGGCGGTGGGGCACGCGTCCGCACGCTACCGGACGTCCCGAACCGGAGCGTCCGAACGTCCCGAGGCTGGATGCTGCCGGACGTCCTGATACCAGACGTCCTGACGTCTTCAGACCGGACGTCCGGCAGTCTTGAGACCAAACGTGCGGACATCTTGAGGCCGAACGTCCGGAGGTCCCGAGACCAGATGTCCGGACGTCCTTAGGCCGGACGTCCGGACGTCCTGCGCAGCGGCGCGGAAGGCCTGCGGGGACGATTACGGCCGTTTTCTGGTGCTCGTGAGAAGGTAGCGTCAGACAGTCGACCTCGATTTTTAGCTCAGTAAGCCAGCTGCCGTACTGGCTGCAAAGGTCGCATGTCAGATGTTTCACAGACAGAAAAATGGTGTTAAACTCGTGCGGTGTAGCTTTGTACACGTTTTCTCCGAGCGATCACATTGGAAGCATACAACTTTAAGCGATGCAAGTGATGCGAAGCAGTGAGGAGGAGGCTGGACAGCTTCCCCCTCCCCCCCCCCCCGTGGAATATAAGTCAAACGGAACCTTCTCGCTGCACCAAAAAACACAACAACAAAAACAGGGCAAAACATTGTGTTGTGTCCGTCCAACTTTTCAGAGCACCCGTCGCTTCAACAATGTACACGTTTGTTTTAGATGTATGGGACTGATTGACCGACATCAGTGGTGATATATCTGCCACATCGAGCATAACTGAAATGAATGGTGTCTGTTAAAAGGGGAAACATAAATCATGCCGGAGAGAAGTGATAAGCCAATGATAGTAGCATAAGAAATCAGAATGCCTGTCAAACCATAAATGTTCCAACAGCGAATAGGAACTCCAGCGTCCACTCCGAGGTGTTCAGTAGAGCCCTCAATCTTGTCATGACTGCTGATAGCGTTGCTGTGCATCAGCCACACACTGTAAACTGGGAAATCGATTTGATCGAACTTTTTCGTTCAAAATCATCCTTATATGTGCTGTGCTGAATTTCCGACCACTTCATGAGGTCAAGATATGGTATTTTCCGATGTGTTTTACTTGAGCAGAACCTCTTGATGCGAATCTCTAGATTTTCAAACAGGTGCAGCAAAGCCAGTGCAAATAAACATTTATTCCGCAGCAATATGTCGATTACTGAAGATGTCATCTGGCGGAATGACCACTAACCATGCGTTCCATGAACCGGAGGTGGAGAGTGGTTTCGTTTGTATGGTTCAGTGTTTTAAATGTAGTGTTTCTCCGCGCTTCTCTCGCTCATCTGGTGAGGCACTGAATCGAGCAACACCTCAGCGTAATCGTTGCGTGGATATGCAGGGCTCAGGCTATGCGAACATTCACAAAACTTTTTGCATTTTCCAACTTCAAAAAGAAAATAAAAGCTTGCAGTCGTATTTGGGGAATTCATCCCAGGCTTATGTCTCACACTCTGCAGACTTAGCGTCAGATAATTGCTCCTGAAATAGCGCTTGCATTTGCTGAATGAATGAGTACACTATGTAGCAAATGTTATAATTTGTTTGTGTTGTTAAGTGGTAAACATGAATAAATAAAACAAGTTTTGTGAGTTTTCACATAGCCTGAGAACTGTGTGATGACACAACACTATTGGGTGTTTTTGTTACAAAACATTGTCTCAGCCGTGACAAATTCACGAATTTGACGTAATAAAAACAAGCCAGCAACAAAACAAATAGACTCCGATCTGTTCTCTCTATTACTGCGCTCGCTCACTATGTCTGCGATGTTTCCTTTGGGAAGTGTCACAAATTCGTCGCTTGTTAGCTATAGACAAACCCTCAGCTACCTCCTGACAATAGCGCAATTATTTCTGTCGATAAAGCACCGATGTTACCAACTTCACTGCTCTCGGAAACGTCAAAAAGTCAAAGCATTATTGATAGTCCCGCCACCACAACACTTTCAAGAGAACCCCATGCGTGAAAACCACGGGTACAACTGTGATCACTGTCAGGTCGAGCGGATACTTTCATTCGTCCAAACGTCCCGATCTGTGAGCGATGCGCCAGGTCACGACCTCTGGCCGTGCGCTACCCTCCCACGGGCTGGGAGGGATCTCTCTTCTTTGTCTCGGAGGCGGGCGGCGGGCCGGGCCATCATCGCCTCTCGGGTGGGGGAGAACTTTCGCTCTCAGTTCGTTCGGCTCGCCGACGCATCTCCGCCAGTTTCACGGGTCACGTGTTTTCCATTACATTGTCTGGCGCCCGGCGTGGCTGTGTCAGCTCCAGACCCCGCGCACGAGCACGGCGCTGGCGTCTGGGCGCTGTGTCTCTCCCAGCGGCGGCGACGGCGGCGCATAGGTGACTGATGGTGGTATTATACGTGCCTGTTTCAAGCTGGAAGTATAACCCATCCCAATTATGGTGGTTAAAATGCAAACGTACGCTAAACCTTTACCGAAATTACAGCTGTGAGTTATAGGTTCGTACTGAGGAACATGATGGTGGTCAGAGAGAGGCAAAATGGCTAAACCCCCATGACTAGAGAAAATTAATCTTCTGGAATTTAAAAGACCACATCTGCTTAACTTCACTTTGATGACTGTTCCCTTACTTTTTCATGTCACTCGGTGGGGAACTTTGCGTGAGAAGGTTCGATGGCCCAGCTCCCGATGTTATCTTTGACGATTTCATGTCTAAAGCTTACTTGATTAGCATCGCTGACCGAGGAACAAAACGTGCGATTTTTTGGTAAAGTAACGAATTCTGACATCCAGATTACACTGATATCACAGCCCACCGGTGTCACACAACGAAGAAGTAACAAAGCGCGCTCACGGAGTGCCGTGAGAAACTGGTTTGTGTTCCGTATCCTGCAAACTGAGGTACTGAAGGTCGTGCCCTGACCTGTCGCTGATCCATGAACGAGCCCTAGGATTCACATGTCTGTACTTCGAATCCTGAGACCACACTAGTGAACGACTGCGACGCGGAGCGAGCCACCCAATATCAGTTTGTGCACGATGAGCCACCCTCTGAGCATCTCACTTCTGTCAGGGTCGGACTGGACGCCTACAGTCAGACCCGAGATGGGCTCACAGGCATCATTACCCACCCCACATGGGAGGTGTCCCCGGACCGGTCGCAGCCGCGGCAGACGCCATGTGCTAACTGACCGTGGGAGCAGCGACATATTGGACGTGTGCCAGGAAACAGGTGCGCACCGGAAGCGGCTGTTGGAAGAGGAAGTACGGCGTCGGCACCACCGCGCCGTCTTCCAACTACCCTCGATCGCCGGTGATTTATAGGGGCTGGATAGCGTGTGACCGGCTGCAGTGCGACCGTGCGCTAATGACCGCCCAGATACAGACCTACCAAGCGAGGCAGATATGATACAGGAAGCCCGGCACAAGCACATTGTTTTTTGTTTTGTTCAGCTGTTGGCGCTGTTTTAGTCGCTGCCTTGCAAATTTCTTGGACATAACCATACAAGTTGTGCAATCTGAAGGTGTTCAGTGTCGCATCTGGAGAACATGTCCGATCCGTGGCGTTTCCGAAGTCTGAATTGGCCACGATCGCTTCGATATCCCACCCCATGAGCGCAGTTTCAAAACTTCTCAGGGAGCGCATCAATACGATGTGAACCGCACGAATGTTCACACGATCAGATGT